AAAACGACCAGTAAATGCGATTATAAAATAAAAAAATATTATTAAATGATAACAACATTATTATTAATTTTTACTACTACATTTATATGCTGCTCACATGGAAGAATAGAATAGCAAAAACAAGATAATTACTACATTTAAGTGTTGCACAAAATAATAGCAGTTAATTTAAAAAAAAAAAAAAGAGCAGCAAGTGCTAACAAAAAGTGTTGTATAAATGTTACAGAAAAAGCACAGTAACAATAAAAAAGCGAAGATAAATATCAGTATAATCAGAGAATATTAATAAATAAGAATAACACAAATACAAGAGCTACATACATGTAAAAGCAGCTGTTGAGGGTGAGGGGTGCGTGCCAATGAAGGGAGATCTATACAGACCATACGGAAACGTAAAACAATCAGACCAAAAACAATATGTCTGTGAAGGTTCCCATAGGTCCAGGTCATGGTATAGCTGGCAGTAGTCGGTCACATTCAGTTGGATTTGATCTTTAAAGGTTGAAGACTTTTCATAGTTTATCCGAGTCACTTCTCGAGTTCTGACGAGTGTCAGGGACATAGCCCAGAATTTATATCCACACAGGTAGCACGGACTCCTTAATCCAATCATCATGGAAGGTGTCAAGGCAAATGCTGATTGCCCAATAACAGAATGAGTGGTGTGAAAGTTGCGGAACCTCCCACGTATGGAGCCGCCCCCTTCTAATTACATAATCCCACCCTTCGTGTCTGCACGTGTGTCAATCATTGCAGTCGGCTCTGCTGAAGCTGTTAATTATTGTTAAAACGCAGGGGCAGGGTTGTTAAACGGATTACTGTATGAAGCTGGTGTGACCAAAAGGATTTTTAATAAACTTTAGCAACCCCGTGTGTCACAAGCCCAGCAATACACAGTGACTGAAGCTTGTATATTCAAAACACCCAACATAAGCCAAGTAACTTGGTATATGCAGAGCAGCGAGGAATCAAAAGACTTGTAGATCGGAAGGAACGGCCCAACATTGGAGGGTACATTCTACACGTTACGTTTCCCTTCACCTTAAAGAAAAGGGACAGTCTCCCGAGGACAGCGAGGCGCACATTGTGGACAGAGAACATGACTAGTTTGCAGGAAGGAGGTGCGAAAGGGACCCATCTACATTACATCAGCTGTTTTACCATTTCTAGTGACTTGACAATAATTCACACCTTCAGGGCCCATTCACACCTCATCCAGATCCTCTCCGGACCAGACCTGATTGTTTCCAGACCCAAAATGCATTCTAATGTATCCCTATGCTATTTCTGGCCTCTGTTCACACCAGCGCAGTCCGTTCCAGGCCAGACTGCTTGTCTTATTTTCTCTGGTCTGGAATGCACTGGAACTGCGGCAGGTTCACACCATTTTCCGGACCAGGAATGGTGTGCACCTGCCCTGAGCCATGCAGACAACCCGACACCAAGGACGGGGTGTACCTAGAACATGGTGGTTCCACAATCTTCACACCTCCCCTCCTGTTCTTGGACAATCAACAACACCCTGGACATATTTCTTTGTGACTGGATTAAAGAGGAACTCCAGAAGTCCCCACCCTCCCGTATATATAAAAACATAGTGCCACAGTTCACTTACCCTCTCCATGCTCCAGCGATGTCCGCTGCTTCCTTATCGGTCCAGCACTGGTGGTCCTTTTTGGGCAGAACAACATTGATCCCTATGAGCCCAGCCTGTAGTCTACTCCTCCACCGAGGGGGGCGCATCATCACGCAGGCTGGATTGAGCGTACTCCAGGACTGA